TGCTGACTTAAGCATCGGAGTGTCTACCCCGAGTTCCACCTCGGGGCTTTGCAGGTCATCCCGAAGTGCAAGCGCGGACTGAAGAAGGACTTCCGGTTTGGTGCAATTACATTGGCGCCGTCTGTGGGAATCGAACTGAAAGCTTTCTAGTTGCTCTTCCATCATGGTCTACACTCGATCAGTCAGAGCTGGTAATTCATCTCTGCCTCATGGGCAGGGTCAACCCCCCAACAACCTTCCACCTCAGCTTCCACCTCAGCTTCCACCTCAGCTTCCACCTCAAGTCCCAGTTATGTTCCCTCCTGTTGATCATGCAGAAGGAGGAGATGAAAATCAACCTCATGCCTCAGCTCATAACTCAGCTTCCACTGCCAATCAAGATGTAGTGACAGCTCAGCTTGCTGCCATGCAGCAGCAGTTTGGTGTTTTTTAGTTGGTACTGGCTCAACTTTTGGCTAGAAACAATCCTGGTGATCCCCTCATTAACTTACTAAACCCTGCTCAACAACCCCCAGCTCCACAACAGAATCCTCAACCAGTTCAACCGGCTCCTGCTATTAGCGAGTCTCAGGCTCAATCCCACATTGCACCCGCTCAACAACCTATCCCTGATGATGTTACTCGCCGCCTTGATAGCCTGGAAAAACTAGTAGCTGAACACCGAGGTGCTCCACCCCCACACCATGCTGCTGATTCTATACCTCATCCACTGAATACCAACATTACTCTGGAACCCTATCCTGCTGGCTTCAAGATACCACAACTGGAGACTTATGACGGGACGAAGGATCCCGATGACCATCTGCATGCTTTCTACTCCTGCATGCAAGCTCAGAACGCCTCTGACGCATTGATGTGCAAGATCTTCCCCTCTACTTTCCGAGGTAATGCCCGAACTTGGTATTACAGTTTACCTCCGAGGTCAATTAGCTCGTATACAGAAATGGCATCTGCCTTTGCCACTAAGTTTTCCAGCAGAAGGTTGATTAGGAAAACTACTTCTGAGTTGATGAGAGTTAAATAGAGGGATGGAGAATCTCTAAAGAACTATATGAGCAGGTTTAATGATGCAGTTTTGGAGGTTAGTTCTTTCGATCAAGCCGTGGGAATAGCAGCTGTGATCGCTGGTCTCAAGCATGACAGATTCAGAGACAGTTTGATTAAACATGCTGCCACCACCTTTAGCGAGGTGAATGATCGGTCTCTCAAGTTTATAACCGCTGAGGAGTATACTCTGGCGCAAAACCCACCCCCCTCTAAGAATCAGAACCCAGAATGGAGAGATGACAATCCGAGTCGGAAAAGGATGAGGATGGCACAGAACCGAGGTCCGATGTTGACCTCCCCACCGAGATTCGGAAAGACGAACTCAACACCCCCGCAACAATCCGCAGGTAAACCTCCAGTTAATTGGACTCCCTTTAATCTGCCGAGGTCACAAATTTTTATGCAGATTAAGAACAAAATGGACTTGAGACGTCCTGGCCCAATGCGAATTGCTACTGCTAGTCGAGACCACACTAAATATTGTGATTTTCATCAAGATCACGGCCATACTGCAGAGCAATGCAACAGCTTAAAGTTCGAACTGGAAAGTTTAGCTCAAAAAGGAATGCTGAATGAGTATGTGCAGAGAGCTGAACAGCCGCGGTTTGTCAGAGAGCAGAGGCCACAGCCTCAAGGAGTCCGCAATCCCCCGAATAGACAAGGTGTGGGATATCAACAAGCCCCACCTTCGCTCCCACCACCGGCTAGAATCATACATATGATTACAGGAGGCCTTGAAGCAGGAGGACTGAGCTCTAAACAGCGAAAGCTGTATGTCAGAGAGGTTAAGCATCAGAACCGAGCTCAGAAGCGGAAGATCGACGATGCTGAATGGAAAAATCAACCCATTACTTTCACATCCGCTGACCTCGACACAGTAGTTACACCCCACAATGATCCTCTGGTCACTTCTGTCATGATCAATAACTGCGAAGTACAACGTGTCCTTGTTGACACCGGGAGTGCACCAGACATCATGTATTTTCACTGTTTCGAGAGTCTGGGATTGGATCCAGCATTGTTGCAGAAGTATGATGGCCCTATCTATGGTTTTAACAACCAACCTGTTCCGGTAGAAGGAGTTCTTACCCTCCATGTGGCTTTTGGAAGTGGTCGGACCTATGTAGCCCCTCCAGTCCGGTTCCTCGTCGTCAAGATGGCTTCTTCTTTTAACATTGTTATTGGCCGACCCATATTGACCGAAATCCGAGCTGTGGTTTCCCAATCTCACCTCTGCATGAAGTTCCCCACTCCTATGGGAATAGCAACACTGCGAGGAAATCAGGAGGTGGCCAGACACTGTTATATCACCTCGGTAACACAACCAACGAAGGGCAAAGATAAGACACCAGAGGTCATTCCCCAGCAAATTCCTGATAATCAGCAGGTAATGGGTGTAGAGATCGTTGATAATCGACCGGATGATGAAACCAGAGCTGCTCCGGTTGAAGACGTTGAAGAAGTGCTCGTTGATGACAGAGATCCGAGCCGAAAAACGCAGATCGGAACTAGATTAAACCCGGAAGAGAGAGCAGAACTGATCGCTTTTCTCCGAGCTAACAATGATGTATTTGCATGGACTTCGGCGGATATGCCAGGAATTCCAACTTCAGTATGTCAACACAAGCTCAGTACCAACCCGTTGAAGAAACCAGTGGCCCAGAAACGGCGTCTCTTCGGGGGGGAGAGGCTTCAGGCTGTCAAAGAAGAGGTGGAGAAGCTCCTACAGGCTAGTTTTGTGAGGAAAGTTGATTACTGCGAATGGGTGGCTAACCCAGTCATGGTGAAGAAGGCAAACGGCAAATGGAGAATGTGTATCGATTATACAAATCTTAACAACGCCTGCCCCAAGGATTGCTATCCGATGCCGAGCATTGACAAATTAGTTGAAGCGGCTTCAGGCAATGAGAGGTTAAGCCTCTTGGATGCATATTCTGGGTATC